AGTTATTTTAACGGTGAGTTTTGTATGTTTAACACTCTTAACTTTCGACAATGCCAACAAGAATGCCAATGAATGGCAATGACGACTTTTTTGCTGTCAAAAACATTACGCAATCATTAAAAGGTGGTTTTTGCCTTTGTTTGACCCAATATAAGTTTAAAAACCGGAGAAATGCATCCACATGTCTATGTTTGTTTTAAATATGTAAATTGCAAACCCTGAACTTTATTTAAACTGTAGTTGCAGGGTTCGAAGTTAGCCGGTACAAACTTTTCCGGACAACAACAAATGGCATGAATGGCGACTTTTTTACAGTCAAAAACATTACGTAAGCATTCAAAGGACGTTTTTGGCTTTCTTTGACCCGATATAAGTTTCAAAACGGGACAAGTGCATCCACAGGTCTATTTTTGTTCAAAATATGTAAATTACAAACTCTGAACTTTATTTTAATTAAACTATAGTTACATAGGGTTCGAAGTGGGGGCAACAGAAATGGCCATCTTCTAGTTGGCGCAAAAGTAATTTGGGCCGTCAAATTTTCAGTAAACATTATTGGGCGAATAAGTTACCAAATTGATATAAAAAATAGCCTATTCGATAGATTACAATCTTGTGATTACACATACTTTGACCAAAAGGTACAAAAATAGTTTATTTTTCAGTTGCAGGGTTAGTTTTGCCAGCAAGTTTTCAGAATAATATGACAATAACAATTGCCGGCTAACGACATTCGTAATTCTGTCAATCAAATTCAGTAAATATTTTTGGGCGAATAAGTTACCAAATTGATATAAAAAATAGCCTATTCGATAGATTACAATCTTATGATTACACATACTTTCACCAAAGGGTACAAAAATAGTCTATTTTTCAGTTGCAGGGTTAGTTTTGCCAGCAAGTTTTCAGAATAATATGACAATAACAATTGCCGGCTAACGACATTCGTAAGTCTGTCAATCAAATTCAGTAAACATTTTTGGGCGAATAAATTACCAAATTGATATAAAAAATAGCCTATTCGATAGATTACAATCTTGTGATTACACATACTTTGACCATAAAGTAAAAAAATAGTTTATTTTTCAGTTGCAGGGTTAGTTTTGCCAGCAAGTTTTCAGAACAATATGACGATAACAATTGCCGGCTAACGACATTCGTAATTCTGTCAATCAAATTCAGTAAACATTTTTGGGCAAATAAGTTACCAAAATGATATAAAAAATAGCCTATTCGATAGATGACAATCTTGTGATTACACATACTTTGACCACAAAGTACAAAAATTGTTTATTTTTCAGTTGCAGGGTTAGTTTTGCCAGCAAGTTTTCAGAACAATATGACGATAACAATTGCCGGCTAACAACATTCGTAATTCTGTCAATCAAATTCAGTAAACATTTTTGGCTGAATATGATACCAAATTGATATAAAAAATAGCCTATTCGATAGATTACAATCTTGTGATTTCAAATGGCTTCATCGTCAAAGACAAAACAGGTTAAGTTTGTAGTTACAGGGTTAGTTTTGGCAGTATTTTCTGGAAATAATTGCTGCGTGCGCGATTTACCGATAGCACGATCCAAATTTTACATTTAGCATCACTATAAAATAGAAATAAATGAAAATTTGGACGTATCTACCTTTGTTAGTATAGCCGCTCCACGACTACGATCCCCAAATTCAGATAATACGCTTTTTTTACGATATATTTTGCATAAACTACACGCATTTGCCTTTGTTTTTATGTAAATTTAAAGACTTGTTACCGTGGTAACCAAGTAATGCTACGTGACAGGCACATCACGGACACAGAATGGGAAGTTGTACCAGAAGCGTAACTCAAGCAAGTATTTGTCCGCGTTTTTACAAGCGATTCGTCATCAATCACGCCATCCTGGCTAGTACAACCGGCACTTTGTACCTACCAAATCCTGATAAAAACTTCCGGCTGTACTAGCCAGGATGGCGTGGCCTGACGTGAGCGAGTTAAAATTTTCGTGGACGTCAAACAATAAGGGAAACGACTAGAGTTACGCTTCTGGTATAACTTCCTATTCTGTGTCACGGATGTCACGATTTGTCATCATATTTCTAGCTTGCGTTTCCAGTCCCTGTCTTCTGGATTGTCTATGGTGGAATATTTATTTGTTCCATAACTTAAAGCAATGTGTCAAAATTATATAGTTAAACGAATGATATAAATTAACAAAATGCCCTACAGTGGCGTTAACTCTGGTTGGTGAAGAAATCTAATATTTTGTATGTGATAAACGTTTGAATTAGCAAGAAATTCAAACTCTTCGTTAACGCCGGCGCCTTTATTCCTAGCCAGCGTGGCCGGTGTCTTATAAAAGAGCCTGCCACGCTGGCTACTTAGCTCCCTTCTTTTAACAATTCTTTCAGCTTTATTTTATCAAAAAGCTTTTGAAATTTACGAAATCTTGCAAAGATGAAATATATTTGCAAGAAATCATCAAATCAAGAAATGTCTGCTATTTCCCTGTCGTCAAGCAGTCGTTATAATGCAAATTTTAAATTGGACCAATCAGTGTTGGCTATTCATGACAGTCCGCTATATTATGAGATCAGTGAGGATGACCACCCACCGAAACATCGATGGTGACCCACGCCCGCGATCATTGATGAACTTTAGACTTTGCTAATGCTTTCGTTTCCCCGGGGGTAAATAGCTGGACGGAATTAGTACCTTCGCACGGCGCGGAGAGTTGGCTCGAGGACAAAACTACTTTCAACTCAACCTCGTTCCCAGGCTCTTTGCTCTTGTGAAGCAAAGAGCCTGGGAACGAGGTTGCTTTCAACTGAGAAAACCAACAGAACAATGACAATGTAGTGAAGTGATACAAGACGGACGCGAATGCTTACATAGCTTGTGAAACGTCTCGAAGAGAACATTCATATTCTTCAACAATTTAAAATGATATGATATTTGGTGAGAAATTAATTGAACTAAAAACTTATGTGAATCAGCATGAGTTTGCTTCAGATATGCAAACTCCTTCATGCCATGATTTCTTTAGCTTGTGTTTTTGTCATGAATTATAGACTTTCACACTGGGAAATCAGGTCAAGTTGGTTCTTAACTTGTTCCTACATGTCTTCTAACCAAAAACAATTGTTTCTATATGACATCAACAATTGCTATTAAAATGCTCACAATCTGATAAAATGAAAGTATACGCTCTTTTACAAACTTACTAAAGGCCCTGTCACACGTATCGTACTAGCGTATTGTATCGTACTAGCGTATTGATTGTATTGTATTGCGTTGCGTATCGTACTAGCGTATTGGCGTATGAAAAATATCACTCATACGTCGGTATACGCTGACATACGCTAGGGGTACGTTAGGCATGGGTTGTATACGTTTCAAGCACGGTCGCGTACGGTGGCATACGCTGGCATACGGCGAGGCTAAACATTTTTTTAAGCATGCTCAAAAAATTTGTGCGTATCGGACGTATGGTTTATACAATAAGCATACTCTAGGCACACGCTGAATACGCTAGAGGTACGCCAGGTGTACGGTACTCGTACGCTGGCATTTCGAAGTATTTTTGTGCGTATGAAAATTATTTCATTAATTTTCATACGCTTCTCACACGTTTCTCTCATGCATGCGCAATAGTGTGACAGGGCCTTAACGATCAGTGAATTGGCGCATTAAAGTAATGACTTTTATGACGTCAGCATTTTGCGGATATTGAGCTCCAGTAAAAAAAGTCCAGGCTAGCATAGGTCAGATGTATGTATGTAAAACTTTATTTCAATACGCTAACTTCGACAATTATTTACAACTGGTTTCCACGAAGGGCGTATACACACAAAGAGCTAAATGTTAATTATATATAGAACAAAATATGTAAGAATCCCACCCTAAAATTTATCATCTTCCTCCCAAACCTCCACCCCCTAAACAAGTACCCACCCACCCTCACGCAAAACTAACCCCCCTCCCGCCCACAATCTATATTGTCCTCCCATCATTTGGTCCTGGAGAAATTAGCTTATCATCTGCTTAAATGCAATTTCGCCATTGTTTTAAATGACGTAATTGACTCAGCCGCCTTGACATCTTGCGGGAGACTATTCCATAGAATTGCTCCACTGTATCCAAATGTTTTCTTTAGAAATTCCGTTTTCGGTTTTTTTAACGAGAGATCAGTTTCGCTATTGCGTAAATCATAAATATTCTGCGATGCATTTCTCCGAGAAAAAAGATCTTTAAGGTTTGGCGCAGTGTGGTTCCCCAAGACTTTATACATCAATACTAGCTTGTTTTGTTCTCGTCTCCTAGCCAGGGTTTCCCAGCCTAATTTGTTTAGGACTTCAGACGATCTTACATCGTAGTCAGCTCCGGTAATCACCCTTGCTGCTCGATTTTGGAATTTTTGCAATTTGTCTTGAAGTCCCAAACCACAGTTATCCCACAGGGGAGAACAGTAATCAAAATGAGGCTGAATTTATGTTTTGTAGACATCATGTAAGGTTTTGTGTGGAACATAAGGTTTTATTCTTTTAATTGCTCCTATTCCAGCGCTAATCTTATGGCATATAGAATCAATATGTTTCTCCCAACTTAATTTTTCATCTAGATTTACACCTAGACATTTAAATGTATTGGTTTGTGGGACTAGGATTTTGTTAATCTCAATGGGTCTATTTCCTATTTTATGATTTAGATTATGCGTAGATCCAATAAACATGACTTTTGTTTTTTTCCTATGATATTTTAGTTTGTTTTTAGCAAGCCATTTATGAATACTGGAAAGGTCCATATTCAAATTGTCAATCAATGTATCGTAATCATGCGAAGAGGAAGATATCTGAGTGTCGTCGGCATAAAGACATGGGGTTGTCCTTTCTAAAATTAATGTCAGGCATATCATTAATATATAGCAAAAACAATAATGGACCAAGTATGGATCCTTGCGGAATTCCGCATATTATTGTTCTTGCAGAAGAAGTTTGATCATTACCAGAACACACTTGCTTTCTATTCCTTAAGTATGATTGGAACCATTTTAATTCAATGTCGTGAATTCCAAACTGGGTTTTAAGCTTCTCCAATAATATCTCATGATTCACCGAGTCATTCTCAAGAAAAACAACTCCATTTATTTTGCCTTCATCCATGTCTTGTAGCCATTGATTACACATTTGTATAAGAGCACCTAAGGTTCCATGTTTTGGTCTAAACCCGGATTGAAATTTAGACAGAAGCGCATGTTTATTCAAAAAGCTATATATTTGAGTAAAAACTTCCCCTTCAAATATTTTACCTATTATGGGAAGAATTGAAATTGGTCTATAATTTTCGCATTTACGCTTATCCTCAGATTTGTAAATTGGTATAACTCTAGCTAATTTCCACTCATCTATATAAATACCAGTTCTAATCGATAGGTTAAATATAAAAGTTATAGATGGAGCAATAAGGGTTGATGTCAGTTTTTAAATATTCGCAGGTATTCCATCCATACCTGTCGCTTTTGAGACATTTAGTTTTTGTAGGCGTTTGGAAACACTATCTATAGTAATATCTGCGAAGTGAAAATTTTCTTTAGGAAGAAGCACAGTACTTTCATAAATTACATGATCATTTAAAGCATCAGTGCTTTGACATGCTGATTCAGCAGCCATCTTCATTCCAATATTTATAAAATATTCATTTAATGTTTCAGCAATAGATTTATCATCAGAAATAATATCATCATTTACTTTCAGTTCATTAATATTTGCATTCTTATGCTTTCTTCCTAAGAGCGAATTTATCCAAGCCCATCCGCTTTTACTGTCTCCCATTTGAGAGCTTGCCTGGATTTTATCACAAAAGTACTTAGATTTTGCTTTCCGCATGTTTATATTTACTTCATTACGTAGTGTTTTATACAATTCTCACTGTAACTCCGAATCATATTTTATGGCCTTTTTTTTTGTGATAGTCCCTTTTTCTCATAAGTTCTTTAATTTGAGGATTAATCCATGGGACAGGGTTATTCCTTATTCGCTTGTGGCGCAGAGGGGCATGTCTATTAAGTGCATCTAATAATAGTGATTTCCAGACTTGCCAACATAAATTGGGATCTCAAAACTGATAGACCATCTCCCAAGGCAATTGAGACACATCCCGAATGAAATCATTTTCGACAAAGTTTTTAAAGTTACGAACCTGACGAATTTTTTGCCTTCCTTTCGGTAGTGTAAATTTTCTCACAGCGTAGACAAGGCTATGATCTGAAATTCCCAGGTGAATGACACCTGATCTGGAAATATTTTCTGGTCTATTTGTTAATATTAAATCAATTAGTGTAGCTGATTTAGGAGTTAGCCTTGTAGATTCTTTAATAAGTTGGTCTATCTGATACAGAGAACATAAAAATTGCACCTTACATGTGTGAGGGTCAGGTATAGTTTTACTGACATCACAATTTAGATCTCCTATGAGGATTAGCTCCTTATCTTCATTATCACATTTTGCTAAAAAGCTTGCCCAGTAATCAAATATATTCATAAGAGAATTTGGTGGTCTATACCATGTGCTTATTAGCAGTGATTTATTGTAGGGTAAACTTAATTCAATGCAGACCATCTCAAGTTCATCAGGGATTAGATCATCAGGGAGAAGTTCAGGGAGAAGTTCATCAGGGATTAGATTAGTATAGGCTAGTGTACGGGTCTTAAGAGATTCTTCTGAAACAAAAATCAAACTTTGTTCATATGAGCCCGTTGGCCGGAAAGCTTACCCAAGTAGAATAACTTCTGTGTTGTATGACTGTTAAACATCTATAGACCTTAATTAACAGACACTATTAAAGTGGTAATCGTTTCGTTTGTGCAACCACAACAAAAAATATTTTGAAGACGCCAGGTTTACATAATTTCATCCCACCGAGGCCCAACCAAGGGACGCAACTCGCATTATCCAATTGCAAAACGTTCCAGCTCTACTAAACTGGCACTTTAACATAGTATATCATCATATCAGGAATTTATCGCATCGCAACAGCTTCACCATGAAGTATTATATATCAGTGATTTGTAAGGAATGAAATGCTATTAAGACAATCCTGCGACAACAAGTCAATCATTCTATATTTATTAATTATTCATTTTCAAATATTCAAGATTCAAAAATGTGTCGTGGGGCTGTTGCCTTCCAGATCGTAAACTCCGGCCCAGGGAAGTGAGCCAGACTCACCCACATGGCAGGCAAACTACTAGTACCCAGGACTTCGATTTGAATCTTTCTTAAAGTCCCAAACGCAGAAGACGCAGATCCGAAGTTTAAATGGGAAGATAAAACAAAGAAAGATTCAAAGAAATACGAAATTTCGGATTGTCCACAAGTTAGTTGCATGTTATGCAAACGGAGAAACTATAAATGAAACAAAATGCAATGTTCCCAGGTTTGGATTAAAATTCGTCTTTCTTTAAACTAAGAGTTGAGTTGCATATTCACGTCCTTCGTAAGGGTACGTATCAACAGGAGCAAATAGATCACCATCTGGCAGCCTGGAAACAAATAAAAATGAAATACAATGATCATAGATTTGAAAAGGATAACAAATAAGAACTCAACCAAATTACAGGTATGAATATGTATTTTCACATTGGATAGAATTTTGAGTTGTGCGAGGTTTCATCAACAATCGTATAATCAAACCATGGCCAATGTGTTGGTGTCTCCGAATCTACACCAATAGTCCAGCTTTGACATTGGTCGATTTAGCATTAGCGATCAAGTGCAAAAATACGCAAATTTGTATTTGACCCAACTGAAATCAAGAAAATCATCTCAATGGAGATTACTGCAATCTGTTTGATAAGGAAAGAAGAATTTAGAACTTACAATATATCGTCGTCAGCCTCACGCTCATCCATGCTTAACTTAGGAATGGTACCAAGTAGTGCAGTAATACTACTACTGTTTCCTAGCTTTAGAAGACCGGCGCAGAAACATCGACCCATTTCTTCAAGTTCTTTCGTACCAATATGAAAGCCCTGAAAATTGAAAAGCCGCGGTGTATTTAACAGGTAAAATTGCTGGCCTAAGAACCGTGCAGAATGAGTAAACTAGGATCATTAAAAAACCATTTCGTGTTCGTGCAATATTTGGGTCATTCTAAGAAGAAATGCAATATGCATTCCCTATACCAAACTTTCCGGATATGATATCATTAACTGAAATTTTGGAGCGAAAAACAAAGAAAACTAATTTGCAATTCATGTCTATTGACATCACATCCATGCAGCAACTTCTACACTGAAAATGTAGATAAAGATGAGGTTTTTTACTATAAAATTGGCTGATTATGACTGCGTCATACTGAATAAAAATTTCTATTTTACTGACCGTGCAATGGAACGTTGCAGGGCCCACTCGATTTTTGTACTAAACGTTTTGTTTGGTTGCACGGTTTCGCTTTCGTTCAATTCAATTCAATGAGCCAAAACGCTAATCGTACCGTAGTTAACGGCCAATAAATCTTTCACCTCATGAAGATATTTCACCATTGCACTCATACTGCATTTACTCGTTTAAGCGCCGTACCCGAGTTAGCGACGCATATGAGATTAACAATATTAAAAAGCGCTTCCCTTGAATAAGCGCGGCACTTGTTCGCAACATCGAAGTTGCGAGAGAAAAATAGTTCGAGAAACGAAACTAAAAAGACAATTACAGTGCTGTACATGTCAATCTTTAATAAGCCACGGATAATTTTTCTCCTGTACTTTGATGTTTCTAAGCTTTATTTTGTAGCTTCCAACACTTCTTGTTATCGAAATATTTTTAAAAAGCGCCGCCCTTCGAATAAAAGCCGCCCTTAAATCCCAAACACTAGAAATTGAAAAGCGCCAGGCGCTTGAACAAGTAAATACGGTAATATGCAATGAAGTGGTTACCTTGTATGGTCCTTGATCTGTCCCACAATAAGTACTTTCCATAGTATAACTCCTAGTTACCCCTAGCTCTCGCCATACAACAACTCTGGCAGTGGACTCCTTAGAAGACTCCACAAGAAAACTGCAATTTTGGAATGAGAAAGACGGTGCAATGGAATGTAGTATTCTTGGCAATGTCTAGATAAAGTAGAAAAACAGGAATGTTAAGGCTGATTAGAAAAGATTACAACTGTAGCTAAACAAAGTACATTGGGCAAAACAAAGGTAAAACAATGCATTGAAAAATAGTAAAAGGATCAAAATGTAATACTAAGAAATAAATTGCAAACTTATAGTTAAACTCAGAATACTATTTCAACAATTCATCCTCAAGATCAAAATGACATTTGTTTGTATGATGCGTAAAACACGCTCAAAATTATGATTATGACTACATTCAAAATTTTTAATACGTTTCTCAATCGGCAATCAAATTTACAAAGTATGATTAATGCTCTATCTGTAAAATAAGCTAAAAAAAAGATATTTTAGATGGTACGCCAAAGAAAAATTGGTTGATCGAGGCGTCAATTTTAAAGCATCATTCATAATTGCACTTTTATTGACAGTTTTACAGCTATAGCTTTTTATAGCTAAAAAGGTAGCCAAAAGATTTTAAGTTTGGAACGCTTTTCATCGCAAATACGCGACAAAAAATGTTTCTCTTTAGAAATTGAACCACGAGGCATGCGAACGAAAATCAAAGGGAAATAGCAATAAAAAGTTTGTCCCAATTTACGAGGCATTCAATGCATGGCAAATTTTTTACTGATTTTCGGCAAGATTCTTCTTTCTTTCAAATTGAACAAACTAATTTTTGTTGTCCATTTCCTTTACGAGAAAACTCAATTAGTCTCACCCTATAATTCGTTTCCTTCACAGCTTCACCAACATTGGAGGAGTCCGACTCTGAGCCTGACGTGACGATTGTGACCGGAAGATCAACGGTTGGATTATGGCAACCATACATGAAAACATTCTTCTTGCGTGAATGACCATGGAAATCGCAAAATACCTAGTATTTATTAAAGAAAAAATAGGCTGAGTCCTTAAGGACAAACCTTTGATAATCTTATTTGAAATCAAAAATCGTTATGGCCCAGAGGGAAATAATTTTAGACCTTTAACAACCGAGGACACGGATTCTGTTTATTTTCGTATTGAACCAGGTAGCCAGCGTGGCCGGCTCTTTTATTTATCTCGATAATTGAAGAAGAGCCTGCCCGAAAGCCCTAGTAAAATTGATCACTCTCGGCAGCCAGCTGCCGAGAATTGTCATTGGATGAATATACGTTGACAACAGGTTGATTGACATGTACGCTAATTTATCCAAACATTTTAAAAAAATACAGCAAAAACAAACGGCATCGCACACATTAATATTACTGTAATATATGGTACTGTGATAAAAGTGTAAAATGTATAACATATACTGGTATCTAAACAGAATAAGGCAAGCCATACTGCTATTACTGCAGATGTCGTATGATTTTACCATATGCCGTATGGTCACTATAGTTAGAGTATAAAACCTTGGCTGTCCTTGCCTTGTTTATATTTTGCTGGCTGGCAAATTACGATTATATAAAAGGATACATTCCCCATTACACCATCTCTTTGGAGCTTTTAAAATACGTTTCCCTGCCAACGTGTATAACACGGGAAGGGGTCTATTTACTTTTTTCCTAAGACTCTAAGTCATTTATTATATTTAATACTGCAATATTTATAACTGTAGCGTGACTGTAGTACAGCCATACAGGTGCTAACCAATAATATAATTTTGAACGGTCTTTGTCTACTAATTTCCAGACAAAGTCGAAGGACTTTCGCTCGAAATGCCGACGTTTTGTTTGTATTTTCCAGGCAGTTGAATCGCTATCCATCTATTAAAATCTTTATTGAAAGCAATAATATGTTTACACAATAACTATACTGTGGCAATGTATGTAGCGCTGGCTAGTAAATATGCAACAATTGACATTTTATATTTTTATGTCATATTTGGTCAGCTATTGAGTTGATATGACGATTTTATAGTTGGCTGTTAGCCAATCAGATATAATGAATTATTTTAAATAAATGATAAATAGATATAAATCAACGCGTGTTCGTCTTATTTTGCCGTGCTAAGACAGCGCGGAGGTGATTAAGTCCGTTTCTAAAATATACAGGTTTTCCCGGCAGATCGAAAATCCACCTAATCCCAATTGTCCATGGTGGCGCATCGCTACGAGAGCTGCAAAGGCCAAGTACACCGTATGTACACCTATATTAATGATTGCACATTATTACCCCAAGTAATATATTAAATAAGATTGCATACCAACGGTTTCTTGTTCATTGCTTGCAAGTAAAGTAACAATCCTTTGGCATGATAGATAGTTGGAAATAAGATAGGATCAGGGTCCAGCCACTGTCTGTTGAGATCAGCACCAGATAATGAACAACGATGGCTAGATGTAAACGATAAAGTACATAATTTTTAATACATTACATTTATGTTAACACAGACAGTGAATATAAACGTGTGTGAATATCTTGTTGTTAATTTGTATTCTTGGATTAGTGTTGGGGAAGCTACTTCTCATGCCTTGAAATGATGGGACTGTAACGTGACACAACAATATATTGCATTTTGTATTTGTAAATAGTACTTAGAAGATATCAAAATCACCCGTGCATGATTTCGTATTCACAAATTTGATTGTGTCGTAGTTAATGCCTTTCAAAACAATTACGGTGTAATACATGGATGACAGTCAGCTAGCGGATGGCAGCCGATAGTCTCAATCTTTCACCTGCTCACCCAAAGAAGAATAAATGGTGAGGCGGATATGTGTAAAATTATTGATCAGTAGCTCCCATTGAGGTTAAAAGCATCAAACTTTTACAATTGATGTAGTTTTATTTGCTTAATAGATATTTGAAGTGGGGCCATCGCTATTTTGCTGCTAACTCCTGAAAACGGGTGATTAGTGATTTTCTTCTATTGAATTCTATTATAGCCAAACAACTTTGAAATTTTGTATTCAATTACAACAAATATGACTTGCATCATCAGAAAGCTTATAAAAAACTGCATATAAAACGTTTAGACAGTTTTTTGATTTCTGAAATAGTTTTCGAATTATAAACTGTTAAAAACGCATTTTCAAACATCGAGTAATTAATTATGGACTTTTAGCAAGATAATGTGCCTAATTTACAGCAATAACCATTTGAAGAATAAAAAAACTGTTTAAGAGTCTTTTATGTAGTTTTTTACAAGCTTTCTGATGATGCAAGTTATATTTGTCGCGATTGAATTCAAAATTTCACATTTTTTGTTGTAGTAGAATTTAATAGCAAATAATGCTAATAGCATCGTAACTCTCTTAAAAAAAAACAGTTTCACGATGGCCCCACTTTTGCACGTTGTTCTACTCATAAAAAGATGCTACTGTGCACAATTTGGTGCTTTTAACCCTCTTCGGAAACATCCATGCGCATATCCGCCTCACTAAAAGGAGTATATTGACTTTGTGTTACTAATGCTACTATTGTTATAAGAAAATTTGTTATGCAAACGGCCCATCGCAATAACACTTACCACCCATTTATTACGCCATCCGGGTTAAGCATGGGTATTATTTTAAAAATGTAAATTTCTCTCAGCACTCTTGCTGTGATCTTGCTACTTAATAAGAAATCGAGCACACCTAGAAAGACCAAAATGCATATTTGTATTTCTTGCGTTGCTTTTCAGAAAGTTAGTAAGGCTCCATGTACACGACAACTGGGGCGGGTTGTTCGAAAGCTGGTTACCTTAATCCTAGGTTAACGAAAAACGTCAAAGCAATCTTTCCAACCTGTAAATATTTTTCCAGAAATATTGTCTGGATCATCAGAAGTTATACTTTCTAAAGTTTTGAAATGAACAAACATGCATACAAACGGCTAGCGCTTTGAACAACCGTCCCCTGGCTGACGAAATTCGAAATTGCCCAGCACGGTTGCATGAGGCTAGGTCGAGCAGAAGTCAATAGTTCGTTTCGCATATTTCGAAATAGTAATCAACAATCTTTCAGGCCAAAAACAAATCAAATAAGGTATGAATGAGTTGAATGAAAATTGGGTGGCATGTCGGGGGATACACCTAAACATTTATAGCCGCTAATTGCATGCGAGCGACAGGATTGAAACATTGCTGGTATAAAGAAACGTTCTAACAGACCCCATTATTGGCTCTGGGTATTATTATAAAAATGTAAATTTCTATCATCACTCTTGCTACTTGATAAGAAATCGAGCACACCTATAGAAATAATAAAATGCATATTTGTATTTCTTGTGTCGCTTTCCAGAAAGTTAATAACAAACATGCTCAAAAGTTAACAAGGTTCCATGTACAAGACACCTGGTGGCGGGTTGTTCGACACACAACAGTGTTGAATTAACTGCCTATAGTCAAGTCTTTTGGATAAAATCGTAAGATTTACCAAAATTGAAAATCTGTGCTTTAAAATGTTTGCGAAAGAAACCGGTTTTGTTCGATGGTGTTGGTCTGACATTGTTGGGTCCGCATGAGCGGGCTCTTAAGGATGAAGAAATCCTAACAGCTAGTCCAAGCCGCACGGTTGCAAAATATATTGCATATAATGTTTTCGTTGGAAAACTTTTTCTGCAAGCAAATGTTATGTACGAGTCAAATCCAATCGCGATCAGCCCCCCCCCCCCCGACAACCCCAGGGCATTTGACTTAACATTACCTCCGTATAAGCGGGAATTTGACGGACCGGTGACCGGTCGGGCATTTGACGGCCCCGTCGGGCATTTGACCACTTGACAACAACCTGCTCAGCGGTTTTCCCTAAAAATATGTGTACACTCTAGCGTTCAGGAGTTTTATATTTTACGTCTTTTCGATAGTTTAAAAATTGCTTCTGAATCACAAATATCAATCATAGATATATGATACAATATGCCCGGTTGAACAATAAGAAGAACTGTCTGGCCTATTTTTCGTTCTTTTTAATCTTGAAATACTTGTTCAATTTAACTTTGGCCAAAATTCCAGAACCAGCTAGGACTACCCCTATAGTAGCCCGCGTGCAGGCCCAAGGGAGCAGGCTGAAGGGAACTTGATAGTGGGCCTGCAAGCAAGGCCCGGTATTTTGTACTTTCCGCGTTCGCCCACGAACGCGGCATTCTGATTGGCTGTTTGCTGTTGGATTCTATAATTAGGTCAGTGATTCATCACAAAGGCATAGACAAAGGCTCTCGATAAGCTTAAAATTCGAAAATTAATCACTTTTTTCGATTACAAATGGAACAAGAACAGACTGTTTATTGTTTACTTGAAGGAAGAGATGTTTTTGCCGTTATGCCAATGAGGATTGCTTGTCGTGAGGTGTTGGAATAGCAACATTGAAAACGAATGGGGTATAAAACTATAGTAACCTTTACTTGAGTTTCATTAATTTCAAACAGACTTGATACGTTATATGTTCCTCAAGAAAATTATCTTTTGGTTGATGTTTAGATGCAGTTGCATGTAAGCCTATTCAAAATACTTTGCGATTTACAAGGCTTCGCTGAGAGAGCAAAAGAGAAGACGGCATTAAATTGCCGTTTGAAACGAAACGATCTGGACTCTGAACGCTCTCTTCTTTTGTAGAGTTCTCACCAAATGAAATATCTGAAATAAATTTCGTACTTTCCGCCGCCAACAAGAATTGCACACACGATCTGATAAGTGAGACAATTTATTTATAACACTGAATGGCGACAGCGAAGCAACATTATAAATGCTGATGTGGTCGCACGACTTCCCTCACGATTTGAAGTTTGAGACCGGTTTTCTGTTGAAATTCGTCTTAATTTGCCTGTTCCGATTTTAGTTGAAAATGAGCACTTGTAAATTTGGCAATTACTGACTGCGTTGCTTGCTTTTTTGGAGTTTTAACACAGGCATTTACACATTGTTTCTATTTTGAATATTAAAGCAGAGAAAACCCCGCAACATTTTAATGCGAGTTTGTTTGTTAATATTTGAGTTGCTGTCATTGGTTCTTTTTTGACAATTGACGCGCGAATGGGGCGTGTTATGAAAAGGGGCGTTTTACAAAATACCGGGCCTTGCTTGCAGGCCCACTATCAGTTCCCTTGGGCCTGCACGCGGGCTACCCCTATAGCAGGGCATTTGACTGTGGTTTCTGCCTGTTTGGGCGGGCATTTGACCAAATATTTTTTCAAAAGTCAAATTCCCCGGGGGTTGCGCGGGGGCTGATCGCGGTTGGATTTGACTCGTACATTATGCTTTTTAGAATTTTATCGCAACTAAGCTCCAACAAGGCTAGCGAATAAATATTCTTTTGTTAGAAATTAGCCCTTATGTATTTTCGTCTATATGGTCTATAGTAAACTAAGTAGAGTATGGCTGTCGCTAAAATTAGTAAAATACACTTTCTTTCCTTTAAGACTTTTTGCTTTTTACGGATTCACCTTCCATTTTATTCTGCCAACCTCAACAATTTTCTGGGACCAATGGTCCGCCATATTTTGCAGCCCTGCCGAACCAACTTCTCTCAAGGACGGAACGGGTATATGGAAGGTAAATGTCAACAGAATAGATTTTAAAACTGGCGAGAAGTTTGGTGGAACAACGCTGATAACAATTAAATGCATATACGACACTCAGCTCCAGAAATTCTACAAATCAGCGTATTTAACACAAGGCCGGCGAGAGGCAACCAACCAAACAAATCGAAGTGCAACAAACAGCAACGTTCTAGCGAAGACACAATTAACTTCGAAAAACTATGCCTAAAATAGGCATACTATACCTTTCATTACCCAGCTAGCATTGCTTTCACCTGGATGAACTCTCGAGCACAGAAATATGTAGGGACGATTATCTAAATGATATGAAAGCCGATAAATTTTGTAATAAAATTGTAACAATTATTTTACTTCCAAAAAGCTTTGATTGCCTAGGCCAAAAAAATATATGTGGGTTTCCTATTTCTTCTTGTAAAAACTTAGGTAGGGTAGGTCGGTTTTAACTTTTTTTTTAATTTTCCTAACAACCGGATGCCATTTTGTTTAGTTAGTGCTTCCACATTCGAAGATAAATTTTGCTAACATTGCCTCAATTTCCATTTTTCACGAACGTTTACAAGCATGATCCAATAAAAAAGTTTAGGGTCGGAATTTCGGCGTCCAAAAGCTAGCTAGGGTCGGGAAACCGGAAACCCACATATTTTTTTGCCCTATTGTTGAAGCAAATTGTATGAAATTTAATGTATGAAATTTGCAGCATTTCAAAAATACTATTTAAAATTAATATTGAATAAGGGCGTACTATGTGCGAATCTGAACAAAAACACTGTAATTCAACATGCGAGGACGTCAAGAGTAAGATGCAAGGTTAACAATTCGGTGAAAATTTAACGAAATTTTTAAAATTTGCCTGGCAATCTTTGTAATACTGCTGTGCATATTCGAATTGATTGCACGCTGAACTATATGCATCACTGGAGCTACTCGTGAACTTGACCCCCTGTTAACCAAAAGTACCCGAGTAAAAAGTACGTAATTACCCCTAGATGTGTACGAGAAAGCATAAGCTAATTTGCGTTGGGATTTGCATAACCTGGGAAAATTCAAGTTTGTAACTCCGAAAACTAAAACCAAAATTACGGCCTGGCAGAGTAATGCTTTTTCAACACGAACGTCAGATTGTCGAGGGGGGCTGTGCTTGTGTCAGTTTGTGGTAATTGTCAACATATGACAGAATATGATTCTTAAAGTTTTTTGCTTCCTTACACGAGCGCTACGAAGCAAATTGTCGCCAAAATAAGTTATACCAATGTTCGCTTGCTTAAGCTCACCAACATGTGTATGTGTAACAAGTGAACATGACTTACCATGACTACAGTTTGGTGATGTTATTGTTATCACGTAACATGGATTCCCAGTTAAAGTATCACAAAGAACTTGTCGCTTATACAAGATCTTGTTGGGATCAAGTCGATATTCGTAAGTTAGTAAATGATTCTAGGAAAAGTGCACAAACAAGAAGAGTATATCGATGCTAATTTCAAAACCATCCTCAGAGATCTAAAAACTAGTTTTATATTATTTCAACTCTATAGAATCTGCGTCTTGTTAGGATCAAGTCGATATTCGTTAGACCGCGAGCAGTCCCTCGGGAGAAAGGAGCCACTGCCGACAACACATCAAGAAACGAAATATGCGTTGCTCATAAAACGCAAAATTCCCATTGGTAGAAATCGATGTGCCTGTCAATCAAATCTGATATATATTATGCGATAAATAATTTCCAGACTGAATGTTGATTTTATAAATAAACATGACATTAACGGTTCCTATTGGATAGATTTAATTGGATATAAGTAATGTTTTATATGCAAAGGCGGAGTCAAATTGACAAGAGCGAAAAGTTGGCTTATTTCCTTTCTTGATGTGTTGTCGGTAGTCCCTCCTTCCCCCTCGCACGCCTGGGAAGCTAAATGCGTGGAAAGGAGGGACCGCTCGCAGTCTAGGAAAAGTGCATAAAGAAGAAGAGTATAAAATTACGGTTGCCATATAGAGTATTTTAATAAAACTCAAAACAATAAACAATCCGAAAAACATTTCATTCTATAATTTAAGTCATTTTCAGAAGAAAAGAAGATGACTTAAATAGACCTTTATAAAAAGGTTGACGTCAGCAGGCTTGTGACGTAGTTTGCGGAAAAAATCCCGAAAGTTTACTTGTTTTGAGTTTTTTAAAAGCCAAAAGAAGCCAGTATTATGGTGAGTTTGAAGTAAACTTTTCTATATATAGGCCAAATGAGTTTTCGTATTCGTTATAGAGCTTAAACTTTATTCGTTTTTATATTAGATTGTACATTTATTTTACTGTCAACATTTAGCAAATTGTTCGCTCGGTTTGTTTACATATTTCGTTGCTAAAAAGTATATTTTTCTTTTTTGTTTCTCAAATTTATCAGTCTAATCACCAGAATGGCACAACCTGGCAAAATCTTGATAGAAAATTAAAGCTAGATTGTAGACGCAGACACGGAAAGTGTTATACACGATTGATAAAAGCTACTTGTCATGTATTTCACTTCAACTATATATCGATAAAATAATACTTAGTCTTAGTTTATATGTCTAAGTTCACTTATGTACCTCTTTGCACGATCACTGAGCCTGTGTATTGCTGTCTACAGCTTGATTAGGGCCATTCTGATGATTAGACTGATGAATTTGAGAAACAAAAAAGAAAAATTATACTTTTTAGCAACGAAATATATAAACAGACCGAGCGAACAATTTGCTAAATGTTGACAGTAAAATAAATGTACAATCTAATATAAAAACAAATAAAATTTAAACTCCGACGAATATGAAAACTCATTTGGCCTATATATAGAAAAATTTACTTCAAACTTACCATAATACTGGCTTCTTTTCGCTTTTAAAAAACTCAAAACAAGTAAACAACTCTGAGCTTTCGGGATTTCCTCCGCAAACTACGTCACAAGCCTGCTGACGTCAACCTTTTTATAAAGGTCTATTATAGTCACTATTAATTATATAGTCATTATTATTTCATTAATATTAATTATAGTCATTATTATTTTCTTAAATTATAGTCATTATATTATAAGACACATTCGTTTTCTATGCATGTTAGTCAACGTTTATTCATAAATCTGGTCCTTCACCGTCACGTGCGTATTGTATTTTTGTCCAACTAACCAATAACAATGTTTTAGGAAAGTTCCCTACCGTGACTTGAGCAATATGGTAAATTCGAAATTGTTATTGGTGGATTTGGCAAAAATGCAATACACAAGTGACGGTGAAGGACCATATCTATGAATAAACGTTGACTAACATATATATAATGAGTTATATTGTTATTCTAATGAGTTTCCGAACCATCTATTCTATTAACTATGTTCTAACTTACCTCCAGTAAGGAAAATGAATATGGATAATGATATGCCAAATAACAGCAGTCGTTTGAATAGGGAAATTCTATTGTGAATGTAAGCGTGTAGTAATATTTCTCTCGTTCAGTCTTTGGATTGGAACATGGTCGTCTATAATGATTTTTGTAATAACAAATATCTGATCCAGTTCTTATCCAGCCTGGATCACCGTCTTCTGCATCCTTACACGAGTATAACACTGGTTGCATGCCTTGATCGTGCGAAAAATACAAAAATAACCTGGATTAACTTTGGCCAGGAATTAACGGGGTTTGAAGCACAACAAGTCAGAGTAAGATGCATTCTTGGTGTGATTTGAAATCTATTCTATACTGTACGTTTTCGTTTAAAGTGCTATGTTTTAAATTTCTCTGAGCTCCTCACTCAAAATTTTCCAGTCTTCAATATTTTGAACAGTAAAAGCACGGGCTCTCCCTGTGGCCTCGTTATATATTTAGTTTTTGTATTTATTTAGCTTCGCCAAATATAACAATGTTCATACACGCAAAATATCAAGCCAATAAAGGATGATACAAAAAGAACGGCGAGGACACCACAACAGTTAAAAACCAAACACTGCATATTGGGCCTTAAAATATGACAAAAACTTAACGAATTACACAGACATAATAAAACGTACTAATAAGAGCACATTAAAGGCTGTATACGTCTACGCGATGAGTTATATTTGAAACATATTAGCTGTTTTCCACGTTTTAGCATCGTTCATATTATAAAAATTCTTAAGAGCGTCCTGGTATAATACTTTTATAATAAATGATGGTAATAGAACGAATAGGAGTGCTATTAATGCCATAATCATACGAGTGATTACGAAATCAACCGACCGCGTAGCGGGAGGTTGACTTGTTAATCACGAGTATGATTATGGCATTAATAGCACGACTTAATTCGTTCTATTACTTATTAATTATTTATCTTCTGTAATCAAACTGTTTAAGGGGAAAAAGCACAAACATACAACTTGTTGAAATTCAATATAATTATTTTTGTCACGACAATTCTTAGTGAAATAGTACAATTTTGAATTAAATTTATCATAATCAAATTAACATATTATTAACTTCCGGGTATTATTTCCGGTATAATCACATGACAACATTGTTTGAATTTAATTATTCAACAGTCAACACACAATTGGGAAGCCATGTTTGCAAGTTTATAACGTGTTGAAAATAGTGAAGTTCTTTAGTTCAGTTTAATCTGAATCTGATTGAAATATAACCGCTGGTTGTGTCTGGTTCGGTGTCTTCTGCTGGAAGAACAGGTAGGTCATTTTCGTCAGAAAATATATAATTTAAAAATTAAAAGTCAAAATTTTCAAAATTTCTCCATTTTGAAATTTTTTACAGCAATAAAGAAAATAAAATTCAAAGTTTGTATCCTGAATGCTGATTGGCTAGTTGTAAATACTAGACTGATTTTCATTGGCTATAGACAGGAGTGCGATTACAGCTCAGAAAAGGTGCGATTAATGCTCAAGTCGCACTCCTGTAAACCAATGAAATTGCAGTATTTGCCACTGATTACAGAAGAAAAATAATTAATTCTTAAATTGAGTCAGCGATAGGTAATTCTTCACCTTTTGTAATATAATCTTGAACGGTCTAGTATGGCATAGTGCCATTAATAACCAACCCTCTGACAGAGAGATAAAGGTTCTGGTTGTCGTGATAAAAAACGATCGTTAATTAGTATGTACATACAGAGGGCTGCTCAGATGAACAACCACAGGAAAAAGATAGGTAGAACTACTTTCCTGAGCGGAACCCAACTCAAACAGCCGATTTATAGTGCATGTTGACTCTATAAATGACGCTTTTGGATACGCGACAAAATAACAAAATATGCATGCTAGTAAAAAAATATTTAATGGAATGCTTTGTATTTTCGATAAAAGTGAAACACAAATAGATGACTGAACAGTTGAAATTTTATATGCATATGTGAATTTTTCCAGTCTTACTATACATGCCATATAGTATTCAACTGCAATTTTACATCCCTACGCAGAACGTGTCACTCGATGCCGATACAGTCGACATTATGAATTTGGGTTATTGATTATGGAAAACAATGTGCTTTTTCGACTACCCCGCAAGCACTCTTCAGTTGCATAGTCGTTAGAGTAAGTGCCTTTCACCCCTGAGTTCGTGGGTCTCGCTGTGGACTCACGTCAAAAGATCACATCCACACACATGTAAATTCGGCTAGAAATATTAATCGTAATCGTAATCTAAAGAGTCTTCGCGACTGGCCGGGTTTTCATGCAGGCCATGTCTTGATCCATATTGATTCAATGACTTTGACATGTGATATTGACCTCGTTGTGTCAGAGATCTCATACAACTCGTGTTTGATCCATGCAGCTGGGGCTGCGTGTATAGCGCCGTGTGACTTTTGCGCGATTATAACATATGTGATCTTAACAAAAGTCTTAGCTAAAGTCAATTGGACTCTATATCTAGATGTTCCATTTTATAGATTCTACAAGAATAATCTGCCATCAACCAATATAAAATAATCTAATATGTAAATTATTGCAGCAAAAGCTGCAAAGTCGCATTGTGTTGTATTCTCATGCACGTTAAGGTTTTAGTAGCAGAAGAAATGAAATTGAGAATACGTCAAAATTAACATGCAATAGGATGCCAATTATTTCTATATACATCTCAATTGAGGTACATGCCTGACAAATTCGAGTCAACAAAAACACAATACACCCTTTTTGATATTTTAACCACCCATTGTTGTGTTATTGCTGCAAGCAAACTTAAGAGAACAGGTTTGTTGTGGAATTAGGGATTAACAAACAAAGTAGGGGAAGCCTCACATATCGATTTTGTCCATGAGAAACGTCATATGTTCGTTTCTCTGGAGACCCCCCCCCCACCCCCACCTTCAGAAACGTCACACATAGTTATCGATATTTTGTTCTTATAGTACACATAAGATAATTTTTACTACTTTCTACGGTCGGCTATTGGCGATGTTTCCGCGAGGAATATGTCATCTTCTGCTGACATATCTTTTTTTATTAATATATATGAACTTCAAAATTTCCAACGTTTCTCAAAACAAACAAACTTTTTTTGCGTGAAATATTGATAATTTTAGCGCGTTTTTCTTGAAATTTGAGTGTTTCGTTTCAATGCAACGAAAGCGTAATAATATAAATGTATACATATATAGAACAGGTATGGTATTACGAACGTAATTTTTTTATTCTGCCAAGATGATAAGGCTTTCAAAAACCTATCGAATTTTTCCATGATGTTTACTGAGAAACGTCACAGCTGCAACCCCCCCCCTCCCCCCCCAAACGAACATATGACGTTTCTCGTGGAAAAAATCGATATGTGAGGCTTCCCTAGGTTAATAAACAATTCTTAATGTGCAGTAAGCCTGATCTCCGTTAATTTTTTCCGGAATTGTAGTTCCAGTATAGGAACTTCCACCTTAGCTAAAAGCTCCTCAATTTATAAAGTGACAGCTAGTACATGCACGATATTGCTCATAACACACTAATAAATGGTCTTTTTGACAATATGCCCATTTAAATGTGTGAAAGAGCAATATAAAAACAATTTTTCAATTAAAATTTATGAAGTCCAATATCGTTTAAATCACATATATAACACAGTTAGAAGTTTGAAAGTTCATTTCTGGTAACGAGAAGTAGAGGAAGAGTCAAAGAAAAATATAAAAATGACTTATAATGCAACAACAGACACTGTTAAATTATGCACATTTTATCATATGGAATTTCAATCTGTAACTAGTCCTCCGAACGAGTTTGTAATTAACCAGATTGTCGCAAGTGTTGTCAATGGCGTCGTAATACTTTTGACTATTTTATTGAACAGTGTTGCAATACGAACAGTTTCAAAATGTTCTCAACTTAAAAACAAATTGTGTTACTTTCTTGTTCTCGTTCAGTCGGTCACAGACTTGCTTGTAGGAATAATTGTTCTACCTTTACTCGCCTTTGCGTTGGCAAGTAATGCAAAAGGTAAATATATATTATAATATTCATGTTATATAAGAACATTTTTGATTGGCTGAAATGCGTGCTGAATTTTAGTTCAGATGAAAACACACGCACGGTGGTAAAGGCCGCGTTTTCCACTTCAAGCGTACCGTAACGAAACGTATCAAAAAAATTTTTAAATTTAAAACTTTAGTGAAGTTGATTGGTTAGTACTCCCGTAGTACCCCAAAAAGTTGACTTGCGACGAACTTTTAATCTTGATACGAGAATACACCAGGAAGTATGTGAATTTATCAACCTATATTCAATCTGCGCATGCTCACCAGTACGTTTTGGTCCGGTACGGGCGAAGTGGAAAACGGTTAGCACTATTTTCCATCCAGCAAACTGACCTGACGTCATTTTCGGAAGATAGAAGAGGTGTTAAATGGCTATGTAACTAACCCAAACCCTACCCCTACTCTAACCCCTAACCGCAACCCTAACTCTAACCCTAACCGAATTAATAAAAAAATTTTAAAAAACGACTTTAGAAAATCGATAGGGCGGTTTGCTGGATGGAAAAAGTGCTAACCGTGGAAAACGGCCTTTAAGCAGATTGGTTAAATTTAGCTCGAATTTTAGATCCCATTGTTTCCCATTGTTTAATATTTCACTCGAGAACATTTTCTCCTTATCGCAAAAGACTTGTTTGAGACGGCTATGTATAAGTTAAGCTTTTACAAAGGTTTTAATGAATTTTAAGTTTGGATTTTTTTATTTTGAAGGTGATGCGAATTGCACGGTGAGTGTTCTGGCAATATTAGCAGTACATCTGATAACTGGATATTCAATGATTACTCTATCTGCCCTGAATTTCGAGAGATATTTTGGAATTATCCATCCGTTGCTTCATCGTACAAAACTAACGAAGAAAAAACTGCTTTCTTTTGTTATCATTGCATGCGCTGTGCATACGGTAACGGTGCCATTGTTTCTTATAGATAGAAATATAAAAAGACTAAAAATAGCCATATTTCTACTTCTTTTTCTGATTACAACCGCGTATGTTTATATCAGAATCTTCCTGGCTGCCAAAAAAAGGTCTCCTTTACAAAACATACCAGATGCAACCGCACGTGAAAGTAAAGAATCAAGAATGAAGGCAAAGAAGGATAATCTTAGAGAGATAAAGCTAGCAAAGTCATGCTGTATTATTGTCTTTCTGTTCGTATTCACATTTTTACCACTATTAACTGTGAATATATTTTTGGCAAAGCCGTTAGGAGCGGTGAAGTTCAGAATTGTGCAGGCATGTTGTGTCACAATCGTCATGCTGAATCCAACTCTCAACTCCGTCGTATTCTTCTGGACCAGACCTTTACTCAGAAAAGAAGCAAAGAAAATCTTTGGAAAGATTTGTTTCTAAATATTTGGTGGTTGATTCTTTTCAGACAGCTTAAGGTGGCTCCCAAGGGTTTTAGTTCCCGGAGTTACGTTACGAAGGATCTCATCGCGAACATTGCGATATGACATAAAAGGTTTCCTCAAGTATTTGCAGTGTTTCTGCACAATATAACAGCACTTCTGACAATAATGATGACTTGAATAATGAGCCCTATATAAGTGAAATGAGCAGGGTCGAAACTCCACAAACAAACCGCCATAAAACCGAGATTTGAACGGGTGTTTTGCCAAAACATCGGACGACCGTACTCGCACGAGACGATGAATAGTGTCGGTGAATTGTCCCGTGTCAGTAAATATTGCAAGGCTATTGAACTCAACGCTTCGCGTTTCGGTGAATATTCTTGCACTATTCACCTCCACTTCGGCGCATGAATAATTGCTAAGAATGTAACAATTTTAATATCATATTTCATGTCATATTTCAACTGCAAATTTACTCCAACACAGATCGCGTTATGAATTCGATATTATATGAATTTGCTTATAATGTAAGGGTTCTGTCTACTGTTGAAGAGATTTGTTGATGAATTTCGAGTGGAATTTTTATATATTTATTAGAGCTAATCAGGAGCATTTGCGAAAAATGCAACTATCGGCCCTCTGGCAGGAATCGAACCTGCGGCCCTGCGATTCCAGTGCAGCACTCCATCCACCTGAGCTACAGATTTCGAGCTCTAACCACATGCAGGTTTATGTACTAGAAAATACATGCATGCAGAAACCCTCGCCTTGCTGACAAAACCGTTGTATTTTCCGGACATGAAGTATCTAAAGTAGTTGTCATGGTAACACGATAATTTTTTAAGAATATTCTTACAAATGAAAATCGCCCAAAAATATCACTTTTAATTACAAAATTATCAATTTCCCAACATATTTATGTTAGGTATGTAATTATACGTAATACAAGCTTCAATTTAAGGTAAAATTAAACCACAAACAATTCACAAAACGTTTTAAAGTGTTCTTTATAAAACTAAACTGCCTTTAACTATTAAATGGCTTTATCGATAAACTTTGAGTTTTGCAATAAAATGATTTCAAATTCTCGCTTGCAAATAACTTTGCTTTATTTTTATTCAAAAAATTCAATATAATAAAAAAGGGAATCAATATTAAAGATACACTGAAATTATATGCTGTCTTGTTTAGTTGTTTCATATACGCAAAGGCCGTCGGGTTTTAAAGCCATTATAAAATCAATATTTAAAACAAACTTACCTTTGTTAACGTCGGCTCCCTTCTTTTAGCTGATTCTTTCGCCCTTTCTTTCTTGAAATTTATAAAATCGTGCAGAAATACGAGCAAAAATGAAGAATATTTGCAAGAAATTTATCAATCATCAACTCATCAAATCAAGAAATGTCAAATGTTTGCTATTTCGCTGTCGTCATGCAGCCGTTATAATGCAAACTTTAAATTGGACCAATCAGTGTCCGCTTT